TTGTTAGCACAACCACAGCCACAACTCCCATTGTGTCAACTACTCTCACAAGTTCTGAACACTTTCCATCAAGTTCTGTCTCTACAGGAATTCCAATCACATCTGCATTTCCCTCCTCCACGACTGTCAGTATCACCCCCGTAGAGGGTGTATCTTCAGCTCCAGCCGTCACCGGCACACTTGCCACAACAGCAGGGTCTATCCTGACACTCACCACCACCCACGGGTCTATCCTGACACTCACCACCACCCACTTGCACACAACACACGCAACCACGGACGCACCTCCATCCACTGTAGCTCCTACCAGCACAGTGCAGACAACCCTCATCAGCCCTAGTGCCACGTCCACTGAGAAGACCACATTCACATCTACCATTGAGGTTTCCACAGAAAGTGCTGTGACAGAGATTTCTTCTAGTCCCCCCATTACTTCTTCAGTCACTGGTACCAACACGCTGACTTCTGGGACAAACACAAGCTCTCCTCCCACAACCACTAAAGCCTTTACATTCCCCACCAATAGCATTCCATCTTCCATACCTGTTACAAAATCAGAACCAGTCAGCAGTGTGACCACGGACATGATAACTACCCTCTTCACTACCTTGGTGACCACACTCCCTACCACCAATGCCAGTTCTATACCTTCATCTGAGACCACATACCCCAACATACCTGTCACTAACCACACCACTTCTCTGACAATCATGACAAATATATCATCCACTTTCACCTCTCTCCCACCCTCCTCCCCCTCTCTCCCAACCACAGAAAGAACCAAAACTGCCACTACACCCTTGGCAATGACAGACACCCTGACCACCCCACAAGGTATTCCTATCCTCACTTCCTCAAACATCTACTCCACAGTTGGTATATCAACTACTGGCCCCACTTCACCTTTCGCTACCACAGGGAACCTGGAGACCTCCACAGCCATCACACCTTCTGCTCAGATAACAGACATCCCTACACTGACTCCATCTATTACCCTGTCAACCATGGGCACCACAGGTTCTCTGACGATGGGAACAGATCTCATCTCGACACTCACTTATCCCAGTCCCTCAGCAACCCTCACAAACATCAGTCCACCATCTCCAACCCTCCAGAATAGAAAAACAACATTCCTTGTTAGCACAACCACAACTCCCACTGTGTCAACTACTCTCACAAGTTCTGAACACTTTCCCACAAGTTTTGTCTCTACAGGAATTCCAGTCACATCTGCATTCTCCTCCTCCACAACTGCCAGTATTACCCCCACAGAGGGCCTCTCCTCAGCTCCAGCCATCACCCGCACACATGCCACAACAGCAGGGTCTATCCTGACGCCCACCACCATCCACTCGCACAGAACACACACAACTATGGATGTACCTCCATCCACTGTAGCTCCTACAGGCACAGTGCAGACAACCCTCATCAGCTCTAGTGGCACGTCCACTGAGAAAACCACACTCATACGTACCATTGAGGTTTCCACAGAAAGTGCTGTGACAGAAATTACTTCTAGTCCCCCCATCACTTCTTCAGTCACTGCTACGAACCTGTTGACTTCTGGGACAACCACAAGCTCTCCTCCCACAACCACTAAAGCATTTACATTCCCCACCAGTAGCATTCCATCTTCCATACCTGTTACAAACTCGGAGCCAGTCACCAGTGCAACCATGAACGTAACAACCCTCCTAACTACCTTGGTGACCACACTCCCTACCACCAATGCCAGTTCTACACCTACATCTGAGGCCACCTACCCCAACTTTCCTGCTACTAGTCCTCTCACGCTCTCCACAACTGACACCACCTCTCTCACCAGTAGCACAGATACATCAACCATTCCCACCTCTGTCATATCCTCCTCTCCCTTGCTCTCAGTCACAGAAACAGCCCAAACTGCCACCACATACTTGGTAACAACAGACACTCTTCCCACCCCACACAGGACTCCCAGCTTTACCTCCTCAAACATTTATTCCACAATCAGCACATCCCTCACTGCCACCTCTTCAGCTCCCACTACCACAGAGACCCTGATGACTTCCACAGGCATAACCCCATCTACTCTGAGTACAGATATTCCTTCCTCAACACTTACAACAATCACCCACCCTTCCTTGCTACCCACTCTTTTGTTGAGTACAACTTCAGACCCCAACTCAATATCCCCTGCTCCCAGTACCTCTGCCACCCCTACAGGTACCATTGCATCTTATCCCACTGATCATCACACAGAAACAACATCCGTGGTGAATAGAACCTCCAACCCCATGCCCACTGAGGAAACGATTGTCATAGGTACTGACAATACCCTGAGGAGTTCTTTAAGTACAAGCCTTGCAGTTACATATGACACCTCTTTGTCACCTGAAACAACTCCTATATTGACATCTACCACAGGAACTCAAACACCTCCTGTACCCACTACCCTTACCCTTGAAAGTACAGATTCTTCCCTTAACACTCTTACTCCATCAACCAACCTCAGCACTATGATGTCAACGTCACATGTCCATAGTACAACTACACATCTGCTCACTCTTAAAACTTCTCTTTCAACCCCCTCCTTGCAAACTTCGCTCACATCTATGAGTGAGTTCATGAATTCATCTTTTTCTAGGGCAAGTACGTCTATAAACGCGTTAATCACCTCTTTCAGCACTATCATTGTGCCTTCAATACCCACCATAATAACATCCTCTTCTCTGTCCTCTGACAGCACAATGGCAGTGCTCACCACTGCCTCTCCATCTCTTCCTTCCTCCCCACATGTGCCCAGTACAGAACGCCCACCCTCTTCATTTGTCTCAACTTTCCCTACTCTCTCTTCCTCTGCAACTATCAGAACTTCTCCTGCCTCCTCATCTCTAACCATAGCTCTCACTAAAACGACCCCCTTTTCTTATATTTCTCTTCCTTCCACTACACCCTGCCCAGAAACTGTAACAATCACCATAGTCCCCACCTCTCCCACTTCTCCTTGTGTTGAAATGGATCCAAGCGGTGAAGTTACTTCTCCTCCCACCACCCCACTCACTGTCTTTTCCTTTACTACTGAAATGGTCACCTCTCCTAGTTCCACCAGTATAAGAACTTCCCTTCCTACATACACAGACAGTTCTATTTCCCTGGCTCCAGAAAGTGGGCCTGCTATCATCACAACTGATGGTCTGAGTTCTACTGGCAGTGGGGCTGTTTCCATGAGCCCAGCTTTGACAAGCACCCACACACCCACTAGCAAGACCTGGCTGAGCACCAGCTTGGTAACTGCCCCAAGCACACCTGGTGTCAACATGAAACCACAAAGCAGTCTTCCAACTACCATGATGACTTCAAGCAAGTTGACCCACCCCACCCCACCAACCAACAGGACTTCAGCGACACTGGTACCTACCACCCCAACTCCCACCACCCTTAGGTCACCCAGGACGACTTTGAACAACACTCAGATGACCACACAGTCAAGGCTGAGCACTACCCCAGGTTGGACCTCCTGCCTCCTGTTCCCTCTCCTCCCCTCTTAAATTTCTAGGTCACTAAGGTCAGGCTCTGTACTGAACTTCCCTTTCTTCCTGTGCTTCCCAGGCACCTGCTACAATGGTGGCACCTGGGAACAGGGCTTCTGCCTTTGCCCCCCAGAGTATTCTGGGGACCACTGTCAGTTCCAGGAGATCAGGTGCCAGAATGGGGGTACATGGGACGGTCTCAAGTGCCGCTGCCTCAGCACCTTTTATGGCTCCCGCTGCGAGTTTGCCGTGGAACAAATAGACCTAGGTGAGTTGCCAGAGCCATGCCCTCTGCACTTCCTCCTAGAGGTGCCACTGATACTCCCTGGGTCCAGCTCTGTATGTGGCCTGGAGGCACCCATGCCATTTTGCCCTATCCTTCCATCCATCTCCTACACTCTCCAGTGCTTGCCTTGTATTATGCCTCCTTTCCATCATCACCTGGGCTGCTTGGAGCTACATTGGTTTCCATGGCCTCCCTCTCCCATTGTTAAGGACCCTTATATTTTGAGGACCACTTAGATAGTTGACATTAATTTTCTCTCAGCTAATTAGCAATCTAATTCACATACTTGATTCTCCCTTAACATGTGGTATAACATATCCACAGGTTTTGGGGATTAGAACATAGACATCTTTGGGGGCCATTATTCTGCCTACCACAGGAAAAATAATGGGAAAGGCATAGGCTCACTGTGGTACATTCTGACTTCTTTCCCTCATCCCCAGACAGTGCATCCCTGAGTTCCTCCTCTGTCCCTGCTGCTGTGCAGTCAATCCTCAGGGACTGTTGAAGGGATAGTGGGAGGAGCCTCTGAGTTGGGGGTGGTGGAGGTGGTGATGTCAGACTGGGGCAGATGTGTAGTGACTAGGGTGGTGCATATGTGTGCAGACACAGTGGATGCTGAAGTGGGCATGGAGGTATCTGTTGACCAGAAGTTCTCTCCAGACCTCAATGACAATACTTCCAAGGCCTACAGGGATTTCAGCAATGCCTTCCAGAATCAGGTGAGGGAGAAGGGAGTGGAGCTTAAGGGTCTTCCCCTGGAAATAGGCCTCTGCATCCCTCAGGCATGCAGGTTCAGATGCAAGCCCAGGACCCTTGACATTTCAGATGCAGAAGATTTACCAACATGTGCAGGGGTTCAAGGATGTGCAGATCCTGTCCCTGAGGTAGGAGATACTTCTGGGCATGCAGGGGCAGTTAGGTGGGGGAGGGGGGCAGAAAGGGTAGAAAGAAGGCTGGAGAATACATCCCTTGCTTTTAGAATTGTCAGATTTCATAGAGATAGGTGGAGGGAGTATGCAAGGGCATCACTCCATGGGGTGGTTTTGTGATCATTTTCTGGTGCCACTTCCTTCTAGGAGAGGTGGCACCCTCCTCTTCAGCACTCTGGAAGGAGAGAGGTTGTAGGGACAGGCAGGGAGGTGGTCTCTGGTCTGGTGACTTGGCCTCCCTCTGGCTGGCTGGCCCCTACTCTGCTGGGTATGTCAGCATGACAGAGGGCCTGGTCAGTGGTAGCTTGGCAACACAAAGAGAATGCCACTCACTCCTGTCCTGCCTTTCCAAGTCAAAGGTGGTGGCAGCCCCTTCTGAAAAGAATGTGTCTGATCTTCCACTTCATGACCTTTGCCCCATCCCCCCAATCTGTGCACTTGTGGTTGGTCCTGGAAGTGTCCCTTCCAGAAATGTGCCCCAGGCCTGGGCCCTCCCTAAGGCCCCTGACCCCTCAGGAATGGCAGCATTGTGGTGGACTACGTGGTCCTGCTGGAGCTGTCCTTCAGCCCCCAGCTGGATAGCGAGTATGAGAAGGTGAAAATGGCCCTGAAAGAGGAGCTCCAGAATGCCAGCCAGGATGGGGACAGCTGCCGGGACACCCAGAGTAAGCACAGGCTCAAGGGAGGGGTCAGAGTTAGAGCCACCACCCCAGGCAACTCCTAATTAGTCAGGGCGTCCTTTGGGCTCAGGTGGCAGCCCTGTGGTACCTCTGGCAGTTTGAGAGAAGGGGCACAGGTCCACACCTAGTGGGATCAAGTTTGGGGTGAGGGTGGGTCTCACAACGATTTAGGTACTAAGAAAGAGACTCCCTGAGAGTTATGCTTAGCGTTTTCAGCATGGTTGGAGACCTCTATTATTAGAGGTGATAACAGAGAAAGTAGGAGTCTTCCCTGTGGCTCCCCCACATCCCTATACTGAGAGAGCCCTTGCTTCCTGGTCCTAACTCCTTTACCTGCTTCGGCCATTCCCTCTGTGTCCTTGTCCTCCCAGCTCTATGTTTTAAGCCTGACTCCGTCAAAGTGAACACCACCACCAGGACAGACCTGACTCCAGAAGGTGAGGGTGTGGCAAAGGGCTACTGGCCTCAGGCAGCCATGGCCCCGCCCACCAGGGACGTCTGCCTTAGAAGTTATTGAGAGAGTGGTGAGGAGGGAGATCTTTGGGTGAGGCAAGTGAGTGGCTTTGGTCTGTCCTTCCTAGACCAGGTTGGCGGAGGGCCTGCGGTGACTGTAAGGGGAGGATGAGGGCCTTTCTCTCATCTAATCCCAGGGTCCACTCCATGACCCTCACATTCGGAAATGTAGTCCTCCCATGCGCTTTCAGAGTTGTCATATCAGACCCCCAAGTAGGACGGATCAGGTCTCCATCTCTGCAACCCCCCTCCCCATCCTCATCCCCAGCCATCTGCCGCCGCGCCGCTGCCAAAGGCTATGAGGAGTTCTACTTCCCCTTGGTGGAGGTGAATCGGCTCCGCTGTGTCACCAAATGCACGTCGGGCGTGGATGGCGCCATCGACTGCCACCAGGGCCAGTGCATTCTGGAGAAGAGCGGTCCTACTTGCCGGTAAGGCCCGGAACCAGAGCCCTACCTCTAGATCCTAGCCCCGCCCCGCATTCGGACCCCACCTGGAGGTGTGGAGAGTCTGAGACCTGCGCCCACCCGCAGCTGCTTCTCCACCGACGCGCTCTGGTTCTACGGCCCGCGCTGCGAAGTGGCCGTCCGCTGGAGGGCGCTGGTCGGAGGCCTGGCGGGAGCCGCCGCGCTGCTGCTGCTGCTTCTGCTTGTGCTGGGCGCGGTGCTGGCGCGCTCTCGTGGGAGGCGCAGCCGCCCAGGCAGGTGAGAATGTGGGGTCGTGAGGGGAGTCCAGAGGCGGCAGAGAGTCCTAGACCCGGCGGCCCTGCCTGACCTGGTGGCGGTCCTACCTAGGTCCTGGGAAGAGGACAGAAAATGCTTCGAGATCTGGAATGAGGACACCGTGGGGACTTTTTCAAACATGGGCTTCGAGGACGACAGGATAGGTGAATCCTGCCTCCTGGAGAAGGAGATAGGGGCTTTCCGGGGGCACCCTGGCGAGGACAGAGGAACACCCCATGTCAGGGCATGTGTTACCTTTTCCCCTCCTTGGTGCCCCTGCTGTGAGTCTGATGCCTGGCTTTCTTCACGTTTCCCTCCTCCCCTTTCCCTTCCTTGTCTTCCCCTCTGTTCCTCTTTTTCCTCTCTAGTCAAAGATGAAAACTTCCAGGTGGCCTTGGAGACTGTGGACACCAATATCAGGGTGAGGGAGCTAAGGGGAGCCCTAAGGAGTTCTGCCAGTTCCAGTTCCAGGTTCCCTCCACCAACTCCACCAGGGCAGGGGATGGACTGGGATCAGGAGGCTGTGGCCAGTCAAGCAGGTGGCTCCCTGTTCCCACTCTGGCAGGTGCACATCCAGAGACCTGAGATGACCTCGTCGTCAGTTTGAGCCCTTCCCAGGATGGAACCATCTGCACTGTGTCCATTTCAAGAGCTGGTGCAAGGGCTTGTGCAGTCCAGGTTGTCCTTGGGTGAAATGAAACTGTGCCACTGAATCTCCTCCTTCTCTCAACTTGGCCAAAACCCAGCTAAAGACCCAGTTCACATCCAGGCTCTTTCACTGTGGGACTTTGGGCAAGTCAGTGACTTCTCTGAGTCTCAGTTTTCTTACTTGTAAAATGGGTACAATATGCTTGTCTCCATACTCCCTACTTACTGTGAAAACCACACGGGTTTGGCCAGTTAATTTTCTGCTCCAGGCCCCATGGTCCCCTTGTCTCTCTTAGCTCCCACAATCCTCATGTCCTTTTGTCTGGTCTCAATCAGTGGTCCCTATTTTCTTGTTCACATCCCCACTGCCTAGTCCCTGCCCTGCACAGTGGCTGACTTACCCATCTCCTACCCTCTCTTGTTTAACTCCTTACTCTCATTCCTTACTTTGTCTCTCCTCTAAGCCCATTCTCCAATCAGTCCTCCCCTCTCCCCCATCCTGGTACCATCAGCCCCTAATCCTTGCCTCCTCCATCCCAGTGCCGTAGCACTAAATCCTCCCTTCTCTTCTACCTCTGTCCCTGGTGAGGTTCAGACACCTGTGTCTCAGGCTCCCCCAGACCCTATTCTGAGGCTCTATCCCTTCCTCTTACCCCCAAGGGACCTGGGCTCCTGTAGGTGGGGGCAGGACTTGAGTTGGCCAGGTCCCCAGGGATGGGGAGAAGTGGGGCCTTGAGGTGGGAAAATTCCCTTGGTCCCCACTATTATTCCCCCAACCCTTCCTCTCCTCCCACCTCAATGCTGCCTTTTTCCTATCCCCTCCTCCTTCCCCTCTTCCCAACTCTCTCCCTGGTCACCCCATCCCTGCAGTTACTTCTGATCCCCAAGCCCTGAACCTCCTTTGCTAGGAAGATCTGCTTTGAGGACAAGTGGGCTAGTCCCCAGTTCTCCATGTGAACACAATATAGCATTTTTTTGTAAAAAGAAGCTGCTGTGTCTCTCTCCTTTTCACCCACTAGTGGGCCCTACTTGGTTGGAGAACAGGGACTTCTGGATGAAGGAGGAGGGAGGGGTCTGGCCTCATAGGGAACATAAGATTGAGGCAAACTATTTTGTTAGAAGTGGGTGGGTATGGGAGCTCCTTGGGTTTTGTCATTTGTGCCCCCCCCCTTGAGATTAAGAGTTTAGGGCTGGGGCTTGGGAGGAGTTAGACCCCTGGAGCTGGTCAGCGAGGTGGGTGGGGCTGCCTGGGGGAGTGGCCTATTGTGAAGATGGATTAACTTGGGCTTTCCCAATACCTTGTGTCCCCAAGCCCTGATCTCGAACACACCCTCATAGTAGGGCCTCAAAGCTATGATGAACAGTGAGGCAGTCCTGATCAACTGAGTATAACCAGGAATAATTTGTCTCCTTGGCTATTTGGGTGGGGGTTTGGGAGAGGCCCCTGCAACCTTCGCCCTGGGCAGGGACTGGCCATGACCTTCCTTCACCTTTTCTTCTGGCCAGAGGTGGAGACCAAGACCATAAAGTCTCAGGTGTGAGTAGACACCCCACCCAGGAGAAGGGTGGGGAGCAGAGAGCCCAGGGAAGGCCCTGGAAATTTGGAAGGGGCCATCTATGGTGGGCAGTAGGGAAGGAAGGCTGGAAGAGAGGCTTCTCCAGGGTGTGGTGAGGACCCTTCACTTGGCCAGGCCTCTGGGTGCCCCTCCCCCCACAGCCCCTTGTCCATTGGGGTTCTCAGCCCCCACCCTTGGCACCCTGCTCACTCTTACACCTCTAGCCTGTGTCCCTCCCTCGGGCCCTGCCCTACCTGTTGCTCTGGCTTCTGCTGATGAGACCCTGCCTCAGGGTTGTTAGTGCTTCAGGAGGCAGAGGGGAGGAGGTTGACAGGCTGCCTTCTGTCCAACTCCCTGTGGTCATTACGCACCACCCACTTCATTCCATCTCCTCACCCACACCCTGGGCCAGGCACTGTGTCCTTCCTTAAGGCAAAGGTCTCTGGGGTCCTTCTTATAGCTGATCCCTTTCTGGGAGGCTCTCACTCCTTGGTCCCTCCTGACGAGGGAAGACGGTGCAGCTAGAGGCCCTCCTGGGAGATGCTGGGTGTCTGGATCCTGCTGCTGGCTCTCCCACTCTGGGCATCTGCCACCACAACGACAGATGGTGAGTTCAGACCCTGGGCTGGTGCTAGGCATCTGGGGGTGGAGCTGGTCTCCTTGCCTCCTTTTCCAGGGAAGGGGCCTGCCAAAAGGCTGAAGACTGTGCTGGGACCTCATCCTGCCTTTGGGGCACTAAAGGTGTCGCTCTGGAGGCTGCGGGTACCTGTGGTTGTGCAGGCGACGGCTGCATGCAGTCCAGCCTCAGAGTGAGGGGCTGCTAAAATTTACCCCTCATACTCCCCACGCCCCCACAGAGGACAAGGGAGCTTTTTATCACATGGACAGTGGTCTCTGCCTGCTCTCATCCTCAGAGCTGCCTCTAACCTGAGGGCTGAGTTTTCCTAGGCCTCACAGAGGCATCACTGCACAGGCTGCTGTCCCATTGGTGGGGAGGGAGTCTGCAGGTGTACCTTGGAGAGCCCTCCAGTTAGAGATGATTAAGGGCCTTGGGAAGGGGACACAGTCTGGGGTTCTTTCTGAGCCTGTCCTGGCCATGTCTGGAGAGTGACCTGATTCAGGCCAGTTTCCCTCAGGCATGGAGGAGCCCCAGGGAAGCGGTGGGCAGGAGTGAGGGGTGGCAGGAGAGGGTGACCGATTTGGAGCCCCTGGGATGAGTGAGGAGGGGCAGGGTATCTGGGGTAGGGGTTTGTGGAGCTCTGAGGGGTGCCCATGAGGTAACCCAAGAGACAAAGTGGGCTAGCTGGTTAGGAACTCAGGCCCTCAGAGGCTGCCTCAGCCCGCCCCCTTGGCAGACCTCCTTCCCTCCCTCTCTTAGGCTAGGGGGAACTGGACAGGAGAGGATCGAGGGCTGGAATGATGAACTGTGTGGGTTTCAAGACATTATGAGAGTCCATCACTAACAGATTCCCTTGAAGGTAACGCATTGACAACAGGAAGCTGTGGGCAGGGGTCAACCTCTCCTGGCCAGGCTCTCCCAACCCCTAGAGGTCCTAGAAGCTACCTCTGGCCAGGTTACCTGAGGGGAGGGTGGTGGTAGTGATGCCAATGATGCCTCTGAGGGCCTGAGAGGCAGCTGCCAGCAACCAAAGGCCTCTGCCTCTAAGGTGCTTATAATCGCATGGAAAAGATAGGTGGATCTGTTAGTGTGCAAAAGAGTCAGCTAAACATCTTTCTATGGTTAGTGCAGAGGACAGACAAGGGAGTGAGGCCAGGTAACCTGGGTCACACTGAAGGTCTCTGGAAGGTCTGATTATACCCAGTGACACCTGTGTCCCACCCACAGAGAGCTGCTCCATTTATAAAGCCATTGCACAGAGGGTAGCTAATATGATTCTCACAGAGAAAATTATGTGAGAAAGTCAGGACGGAGAGGAAAAGGGGGCTCAGAAAGGATGAGTGACTTACAGACAGCAAATAATAAACACAACCACTACTTGAGACTGAGTTTGTGGCAAGCCCACCCTCCTTCTGGAGGAACTCTACCCTCTTTGTCCTCTTAGTCCTGCAACAGGCATGTATCCTGGGTCCCCAGGGGAGCAGTTCAGATGTCAGGTCAGGGACCACTGGTGGTATCTGTAGCTCACTTCCCTTCCTACTCTCTGCAACTTCTTCTGGGTACTTCAGTTCAGGCTAAGTACTAATGAGGGTTTGGACAAGCAGATAGTAAGGCAAAGGAAGGAAAAATATTTCCATGACTGTGCAGGGGAGCTAAGGCATAGGAATGTCCTGGAAAGTGAGGGGGCATGTGCCAGGCGGAAGGAGAAGTTTGGTGGAGAACATGCAGTGGTTTGCCTGTGGATGATGTGTACAGTAAAGCCATGATGAGACTTTTAGACACCAGTGGAACCTTGGTGGGCTAAGCAGGGCTGGGGATGCATGGCCTGTTGAGAGGCATGGAGAGCCATCCTAGAAAGAGTACTTGAGGGCCCAACTGGAAACCCAACTCTCCTAGAAATGGAGGTGCTTCTTCATGATGGACTGTAGGAGCAATGAGATGGACAGTCCAGCAGGCTGTACTGACTGGGAGGACAGGAATCTCTTTTTGGTGGATGACAATGGGCTCCAGTTAGGCCTTTTGAATTTGGAGTGACTGTGGGATTTCTGGGTGGAGCTGTCCTGGAGACCTGGGTCTCACAGAAGGATGTCTGGGATGGGTCCAGGGTCAGTGTCCCAGTCCCTACTACAGGTTAGGGTATGAAAATGTGGGTCCTCACCAGGATCCACATCAGCTAGTACCTTGATCTTGGACTTCTCAGTCTCCAGAAATGTGAGAAATACATTTCTGTTGTTTAAGCTGCCCATTTTATGCTATTTGTTATGAGCAGACTATGGCTTCTTTCAAGAGTTTCTCTGTATCTTTCATTTTCAGCAATTTGATGAAATCTGATTATTCCACAGTCTGTAGTGTACTGTCCTTCGTTAATTTTGGAAAATCCTGGGCAGTGCCTGTGCCTCAGTGAGTAGAGCACTGACCCCATATACTGAGGGTGGTGGGTTCAAACCCGGCCCTGGCCAAACTGCAACAAAAAAATAGTCGGACATTGTGGCAGGTGCCTATAGTCCCAGCACCTCGGGAGGCTGAGCAAGAGAATCACCTAAGCCCAAGAGCTGGAGGCTGCTGTGAGCTGTGATGCTACAGCACTCTACCGAGGGTGACAAAATAAGACTCTGTCTCTTAAAAAAAAAAAAAAACTTTTTGAAAAATCCTTAGCCATAACTCTCTTCAAATATTTCTCCTGACCCATTCTCTTCCTCTTCTCCTTCTGAGACTCCAATTAAACATATGTTAGCCCATTCAATATTGCACCACAGCTCTCAGTTGCTCTGTTCTGCCTTCCCTGCCCCAACCCTGCCCCTTTTCTCATAGTGTTTCAATTGGTAATTTCTATTGACTTATCTTCAGGTTCACTGATTCTTTCCTCTACCACCTC